GATAAATGTTTTTATTACAGTTAAGGAACTTGTTTGGGTTCTATTCTGCCTCTGCCTCTCATTTGTCTTTGAACTTTGATAATGTATTTCAGTGCAAGTGAACATAAATTTTCAAGTTTCTCTATCATATCTTACAATTTACAGAAGTGCCTACAATACTTTATATAAAGAGACATGAACCCTCCGATTTTTGGCATTAGAGGTAGTCAAAACATATTAAATGTAACTTCATTTAAATGTAATTAGAAGTGCAATTTGGTGCTCTGTTCTTTCTTTTCATTTTCAATTACTTGCATTCCCCCAACTGACTCCATCTGTGCATAAATCACACAAGGTCAGACTATGGGAAATTGTTTCATTTTTAAAAAAGTAATAAACCTGCTATAAAATGCCAACCTGCAATATGATCTTTTATTTCTTAGAATAGTACTGGGTTCCATCAATATTCTTAGAAAATAAAAATGACATGTTACAACCTAGACCAGTTATACTCCTAAGCAAAAAAAAAAAAAAAAGAGTAAAATAAGCTAAGTTTTGTAGGAGAGTATTTTCCAGGAAAATGAAGCATTGGAAAGGAACATCCTTGCCATTACCTTCTAGTAAATGGTGCTTACCAGATTATCTTCTGGCAAAAGTTATTTAAATTCTGACAACATCCACTATGACACACATTTGGGGAGCATATTCACTTGCCATCACCTACACAAAACTACTAATTGGATATACCTGAATAAAACTAAGAATACTGTCATTAAAGTTCATGCCCTATCACTTAATTATGTATCTAAATGTTAACAATTTTATGAATACAGTTGTTTATCCTTTGCTTATTCTATATGTCATCTATATACATAAAGAATATGTATATAGCTTTGAGCTACAACTCAAAGCTTCTTATCCTAGAGCCTTGATTGTACAGTGGTCTAAGCACCCTGTTATTAACACAGCTGCCTGCAATTACTGCTGGTTCAAATCTCTCCAAGGCTCAAGGTTGACTCAGCCTTCCATCATTTCTAAGGTAGGTGAAATGAGTACCCAGTTTGTGGGGGCAATAAGCTGAGTTTGTATAAAATATATAAAAGTATGAAGGCTATTGCTTAACGCATTGTAAGCCGACCTGAGTCTCCGGAGAAGGGCGGCATATAAATCAAATTATATATATATATATATATATATATAAAAGCTTCTTATCCTTAGATTAAAATTCATATTAACACAGAATATGAGTCCATTAGGGACATGTTAGTGTGCATTGATGTCTTTTTTCACTTACCTCAAAGCTGTTCAATCGGATTTCATTTTTCCAACTGGATAATAGGAACTACCACATTGTACCAGCAGAGGGCACTCATGAAGTATGAGAAAGTGAACAGTTTGATTTATGCTCACTTTCTATTTCTTCAAGTGTATCAAAAGAAATACATCATTATAAATATGTAAAATGAAGAACTGCATGATTCTCAGTTATGCTTTTATGCAAAAGCCTAGTCAAGTACCTGTAGAAGATTTATACAAATGAATTCAGAAAGCACTCTAGAAGAGATAATTGAAAAAGAAAATTTTGATTTGCTAGAAGAGTGTCCCAACTTTGATAACTGTGAGCAAACTCCCAGTTGCAAGTAATATCAAGGAAAGTTAAACTGGGCATACCTGGGCATCATCCAACAACTCAGGAAAGGTTTGTGGTAGACATCTCAGTTGGTAAAACAACTTTCTCAGCTGGCATGATGTCAGCCAGCAGGGTTAGGAATAGATAAGGTCCCAAAAGTGCTTTTCCAAAAGGCAACTGGACTTCGTTTATTCCTTGAAAATGTTTCACTTCTCACCCAAGAAACTTCTTCAGTTCTGAACTGAACTGAAGAACTGAGAACTGAAGAAGCTTCTTGGATGAGAAGCGAAACATTTTCAAGGAAAAAAACCAAGAAAGTCCGGTTGCCTTTTGGAAAAGCATCTTTGGGACGATCATGACCTGGATGATTAAGAATCTCCATAGATAAACAGATAAGGTATATAACTGCCAGTTGTGTCTATGGAGATTCTCAGTCATCCAGGTCATGGTTGTCCCAAAGGTGCTTTATTTCCCCAAGAGGCAAATTGGACTTTCTGTTTTTTCTTTGAAGACATTTCACTTCTCATCCAAGAAGCTTCTTCAGCTCTGCAGAGCTTCTTGGATGAGAAGTGAAACGTCTTCAAAGAAAAACCAGAAAGTCCAGTTCTTCTTCTTCTTCCTAGCTACCTAGGTCCGCTTTTCAGAACATTGAATGCCACTTTGCATGGTCAGCTGTGTCTCGAGAGTGCAGGCCCACGGCTTGCATATCTTTGTTGATGGTGTCTTGCCATCTCTATTTTGGGCGCCCACGAGGTCACCAGCCATTAACTTCTAGTTGGTAGGCAGTCTTGGCAATGGTGGAAGGTGCTGCTCTCAGGACATGTCCATACCAATGGAGTTGGCCTTCTCTCATCTTCTCTATAATTGGTGCCACACCAAAATGTTGTTGAATGGTGTCATTTGTAATGTGGACAAGAAGGGAGATGCCCAATCAAAGAAAAACCAGAAAGTCCAGTTGCCTCTTGAAAAAGCTCCTTTGGGACAACTGCCATTTGTCCAAATCAGGGTAAATCTATTTTCTAGAATCATGTGCAAAATTCAACAGCCTACCAACTGTGACTCCATTCATTGTCCCTAGGTTCATAAGAAAAATTTTACTAGATCAGCAAGCTATCTGTTTTTCCAGGGGCCAATCAAAGGACTCTGAAAAACTTCCAAGCAGCATGGGCAATGCTTCACTTAATGGTTGCATGTATTGCATGTAAACTCTGAAACTTGATGGTACCTAGAACAGAAGACCCAACATTTTCATTACATCTTAATTGCAAACTCTGATGGACCATGAAAGCCAGAATTAGCAAGGTGGAACCTGCTGGTATCATAGCATAAGTGACTATCCTGGGTGGCATATATAAAATCCTAAAAGTAAATAAAAAAATAAAAAATAAAATTTGCAAGGTAACTCAAAATCTCCTGATATTTTCAACAACATTATTAAAACTTTCACAGAACTTGGCAATTCTTTAAAAGAAAATTTTGTGCCAAAAGCTTTGTGCCACTTGCTAAACCTTCAGGCATCACAGACCACAGATCGGAAACTACTGGCTTAGAGTTATCAGGGTGCAGAATTGTAATAGAATCTTATCCTCACCATAATTTGTTTATTGCATCTTTAAAGTATTCTATGCTATTACACAGCATAGTAATAGCAAATACATGAATTAAAAATGGAGGGAACTGATGAATTTTCTGCCTACTGAGCAAGGATTGCACTGAACAATCCAACATTTTAAGGTAAACAATTTAATTCTATTTTTCTACCCACCCAGTTACTTTAATTCAGTAATTGAATTATCTCGCCTGTCGTCTAGGGCTTCTGAAGGTTTCCAACATCTGGTCTGCAATCTTGTTTCACCATCCTGTCATCCCAAAGCAATAGAACTACAGTCCCACCACGGCACCAAGTATTAGTTACGGCAGGAACAGAAATCCTACCCTCTGTAAAGCATGCAGGACAAAAATACATCTTATTTCCTGCCAATACACAAAGCCATAAAAGTAAGTACAATCTGTGGCAGAGCAACATGCCCTAGAAAAGTGCTCCAGGGGATTGATCAATCGTGATTAATGCTTGTGTGCCTTGGGGAGGAATAACAAAACAGATTGCTTTGGAATGACAGGCCAACAGGCAATGCTGGATTCATTATTTAGAAAGATACAAACTGGGGAGGTGTATTAAAAGCAGAAATAGGTCTGCTGAAGTGGATGAACTTTTCCTATACCCACACCATGATGCCTGTTTCAGCAGTGAAAACCCAGAGAAGAGTTACTAATATTTTTTTTCCAGCAGGGTTTCTGATTTTTATAGCAATATGGTAAAACGTTAAGATTAAATCATAGAAATATTAAGTTTGCTGAATTTCCTATTTATATGTACTATCTTCCATCAGTTTAAGATACTCTCACCATTATAAAACTGCAGATACCCAGCTTAGACCTTAGGGCTATGAAATCTGGACTTCAAAATTCTGGATGACCACTACAATGCATTAAAGGAGTCCTGGTGGCGCAGTGGTTAGAATGCAGTGTAGCAGGTTGACTCTGCCCACTGCCAGGAGTTCGATCCTGACTGGCTCAAGGTAGACTCAGCCTTCCATCTTTCCAAGGTCAGTAAAATGAGGATCCAGATTGTTGGGGGCAATATGCCGATTCTGTAAATTGCTCAAAGTGTGCTGTAAAACACTATGAAGTGGTATACAAGTCTAGATGCTACTTGTATTGCTATTAAAGAGTTTATGTTTATATTCTTTCTCTCTTAGATGCCATCTATAGCCTGTATAAATAATTAATCTCTCAACAGAGTACTCCTTTTTTCACCTAACATATAAAAAATGCAACATATAGCAAATGCAAATCAGGCACTTTGTAATACAGACAACCAGATGCCTGACAGACACATGAAGGAGCTGGAACGTAAGAGGTGGCCTACAACACGCTTAACCAATAACCTAGGCAAACCTTAATAATGATTCTAACTTACTCCAAGATACGTCGTGTATACCCAGAACCTTTGCACAAATGCAGCCCTAGCAAGGCTTTCTGATTACAATTACACCTTATTGGACAGCCAGGCATCAGTAGGCATGCAGCTAATCAGCATTTGGGAGACACATTTTGTGCTGTCAGGCCTTGACAATTCTGTCATGTAAATGGTTTGCTTTTTCTTTCCAGTACTTTTCTTGGAGGACTAGATATATGAAAGTGGTCAACTGATTCATTGCATGTTTCTGCAGTAGCATTAGCCCCCTCTTTGACCAGTTAAGTGGATTATGGGAACAGGTATTAATTCGATTAATTTAATTAATTAGATTTGTTATAGCCACTCGTTCCCTTAGAGTTTGGGTAGCTTACAAAATCCCAAAGACAATTAAAGAGAATAGACAATAGACAATAAAGTTGCAGACTTGCGTTCACTGCACTCGTTTACTTTTAAAAACTTTAGGCATTTTTCATAATATTCAGGAGGCATTATGCATCACTAGAATCTGCTCTTGAAATTCATTCTTTACATTGCATAAATGGTGTGAGATCAAATCAAGTCAAATAAAATAATATTCTACTATATATAGTTGGAAGGCAAGGGTTAATACACTATCCACTTAACATATGTTCACCCAACCTTCGAATGTAGATACTATCTGGAAGGAACATTGGTGATGAACATTGAAGTTAGAAGGCTTCACTGACTATGCAGGAGATAGGACACTGCATAGGTGATACATAATTACTGTGCATTCCACATTCCCAGGTAACTTTCCTAGGAAATTATATATTGGAAATTGAAATGTAACAGATAAAGCTTGATACATTTTATTCAAGATAATTTGAAGAAACAAACAATAGAAAGAGAACCAAGGTAATTTACAAATACTTTTGTAATTCTTTTAAATGACATGAATCAGTTTTCAGGTTATATACAACTTTACTTACATGATTTTTCAGAACATAACATCATAAAACCATTTGTCACAAAGCAACACTGACAAATGGAAGTAAGAATTCAGCTGTGATTAAGGACCTTAATTAAAGCAACACAATATAGCCTAATACCATATGGATTGGAAAACCATGGACATTAACTCAAGGAATATTTATATTTTTAGACTTGGATCAAGATCAGTTACACAGAGAAAAGTAGTGTATGTCCAATTATAAAAGCAGATAATTTCATTACAGGTAGTCCTTAGGTTACTATGACAATTGGCCGTGGGAGTTTGCTAGTCATCAAGCAATGTGATAATAAAGCATATCACATGACTACAATCCAGGTTACTTTTAAATCCCAAAATGTGCAGGTCATTAAGTGAGAAGCAGGAGTTCTCAGGCAAGGAGGGTAGGGTAATGATAGGGGATGGGAGAGGCTGGGAGAGGCCCTGGGAGACCCAGTGCAGACGGTACATGAATTGAGGGGGGCTGGGGAGGGCTGGGAGACCCAGCAAAGGCTGAGCACAGGTACTGTGGGCCAAAGCAACTTAGCAGGGTGATTTGTGACCTTCTCTGCCAGCTTCCCCATTGACTTTACTTGTGGGAAGGTAGCAGGAAAGGTAGAATGAATAGGAATAGGAATTATTATTATTATTATTATTATTATTATTATTATTATTATTATTATTTATTGAATTTGTATACCGCCCTACACCCGAAGGACTCAGGGCGATGAACAGCCAAATAAAATACATATAATACAAATGTTAAAAAACCATTAAAATACAATTAAATAATTGGCCCAAAAAATGAAATTTAAAACACCCCAATTTATAAGACAAATTTAAAATTTAAGAATTTTAAAAAGTTTAAAAAGTTTAAAAGAGAGGTTAAGCCAGGTTGGCCTGCTGGAAAAGAAATGTTTTAATGGCACGGCGGAAAGCACGCAGGTCCGGGATCCTCCATATCTCCGGGGGAAGCTCGTTCCAGATAACAGAACAAATAGGAATAGGAATAGGAATAGGAATAGGAATAGGAATAGGAATAGGAATAGGAATAGGAATAGGAATAGGAATAGGATAGGATAGAACTTTATTGTCATTTTAAATGTACTCTAATCAGCATAATTGCCAATGGGGATCAGGCCTCTCTACAACATTGTAATTGCAAGCCAGACACTCTTATGCCCAGATCACAATCACATGAGCACAGGGGGACTGCGTTGGGGATTTTGGGAAACAATCAAGTGTCTATTTTTTTCAGTGCTTCCATAATTTTGAGCGGTTGCTGAATAAATGGGACATATACCAAGAACTATCTGTAACGAAGTATACATAATTAGAGGCGTGCAAAAATATTCAAACTTAAAATCCCTTTTGCTCTGAGTCCAGAACACTTCCAGCATACAGGTAACAGTTTAGCAACCACTGTTGGCACCAGTAACTCGGTTGCTAAGCAGAGCAGTTGCTAAGTGAAACTATGACTGTGCTTATAATCATACTTCAACTTTCCTTTGTTTTACTGACCTGTAAAGGTTTTAAATGCGAGGATTCATCATAAATTACTTTTTCAGCACGGTTATAGCTGTGAATTGCTACTCAATGAGGCAGTCCCTATATGAGAACTGCCTATAACTATAACATCATTGAACCAGAATAGTTGTAACATCATTTGAACACTATGATATGGTCAGAATACAATTTTCAAATTAAAAATGTTTATTTATTTATCAATTTTTTTAAAAGGCCATCTCCCGCATTTATTCATTTTTATTTATTTATTAATTTTCTATGCTTCCCATCTTTCTAATATAGCGACTCTGGGAGAGTTACAGTATAATAAAAACTTAAAAAGTGCTAAAAAGCAAAACTGGAATTAAAAGAACAAAGATGATGGGCAGCCTAGAGGTGAGAATCTTCCACCTTCAACAGGTCCCTATCAGGGCCCCAGGCCAAGCAGCAGAGCCAAGTTTTTAGGCTCTTCTGGAAGGCCAAGAGTGTAGAGGCAGACCTCACCTCTGAGGAGAGAATATTCCAGAGGGCAGAAAAGGCTCTTCATCTGGATCATGCCAGCCAAAATTCTTTGGCCAACAGAACCCTTTTCCCTGAAATGGGAGGTGGGGGTGTTAGTCCCATCAACATAAAGCAATTCCTTGGGTACCCAGGACTCATGCCATAAAACATACCAATAATATGTTTTGCATATCACAGGCCAGAAATCTTAGCTCATCTGAACTTAGTATTTGTAGCCCCAACAAACACCCAAAACAGAGTGCAGAGAGGTAAACAGAACAGATCAGTAGATACATTTACAGTAGATTTAAACAATTCAATTAAAATACAGAATTTACAAGCAATACATATGCATATACGTACATGATTCAATATGTAATTGAATTTCCAGCAATAGTTATTGCAAATTTTAAGACAAATTTGTTTTTAAGGGGGGGTGGGAGTATTTTGCAAATACTAGAAAATAGATCCAATAAATGCCTTTAAGCGAGTATAGTAGGGCATTCGTTCAAGAAAATACAGTATATTCCCAATATATATATGGAATCAAAGCAAATACAGGTGGCCCTCGATTTTCCATTGCTAAGCAAGATGGTTGTTGAGTCGTGCCCAGTTTTGTGATCTTTTTTGCTATGATTGTTAAGCAAATCCCTGGGGTTGTTAAGTGAATCACATAGTCATTAAGCAAATCTGTCTTCCTCCATTGATTTTGCTTGTCAGAAGTCAGCTGGGAAGGTTGCAAATGGTGATCACATGACCCTGGGGTGCTGCCAGAGTTGTACATACATGCCCATACATGCCCATTGCCATGCAGCAAATTTTGTTCATGTAACATGGGGATACTGTGAAAGTCATAAGTGTGAAGCTAAGTCATTGAGCTCAGTCATTTTTTTCAGTGGGGTTGTAACTTTGAATAGTCGTTAAATGAATGGTTGAAAGTTGAGGATTAACTTTATGGGGCTTTATAGTTTATTTTTATTAGATAATACACTGTATTAGGACAGCCAATTCCCTCCCTTCCCTCCAACTCTTCCTTGAGATTTGAGGGCAAAGAGAATCTTTTCTGGAAACAGAGAAATTTCCAGAGTTGAATGAATACATTTGAGACTTTTCTTTTTAAAGAACTATGAGGAATGGGATAATAAAAAAAAAGAAATGTACATTTCGTTTGAACAAAGACGAAAAAACACCCAAAATGACTCTGTTGGAATGATAATAATGTCTTTAGATATCCTACTGACTCTTTGATGTGTTTCTTTCCACGATGGATGGCCGAACAAAAATAGCAGGAAAAATGTAAAGTGCTACCTTGTGCATAAACCCACTGCCTAAATGCAAAGAAATTGTTGCTTTTTTAATGAATCTCAGAACTTCAGATGGATTTTAGATGACCATGAGGGTCTTAGAAGGGATTTACTGACACGATCCATGTCACCTTACATTATTTTAGACTCAGGCTTGTTACAGGTCGTCTTTGACGTAGAACCATTCGTTCGAAGTTACAATGGCACTGAAAAAAGGGATTTACAGTATTCTTACAACTATCGCAACATTCCCATGGCCCTGTGATCATAATCTGTGTGCTTGGCAATAGGCCTGCATTTTTGATGGCATGACTCACTTAACAATCACCTTGCTTAGCAAAAGAAATTTTGGTCCCAACTGTGGTCATAAATTGAGTACTGCGAGCCTGTAACAGAATAACAGCATTGGAAGGGACCTTGGAGGTCTTCTAGTCCAAACCCTTGCTCAAGCAGGAGACCGGCCTATACCATGTTGTGGTTGTCCAATCTCTTCATAAATCTCCTATAATAAGGAAATCGATGAGTTTCTGGAACACTTCCATAAAATCGTCTCAATATAATACCTGATTTCCCCCCTACTCCACTGTTTTTGCCCACTAGACTCACAGATCAAGAGGATGAGGGTACTTGTCTCTTTCCTTCATAGGCAGCACAAAGTATGGAACCAGGTGCAATGTCCCTGTCTTATCTCTGTAATGTTCACGATGCATCTGAGTAAGCTACAAATTAAAAATAAATTGGGTCAGGAGCATCAGTATCTAGACCTGGGTTCTTTTGAGAATACTTACTTCATGTGTTTACTTGATTTCCAAATCATCCACATTACTGTTATGTAAGAGTTAGTGTGCTGAATCCACACTAGGAAATCTAGCATTTAAAACTCTGCTCATCCATGATGCCTACCACCTTAGCAAGGAACTGAATTATCCTCTTTACATGATTGCTGTGGGGCTGAAACTTAACAGGGATGGGTGAAACTGCTAATTGTGCTCAATTCATTCTCATTTTTCCAGATGTATTTGCATTGGTATAAAATTTGCACAATGTCTGCATTCATGTATGTTTTCCCCTTCCAAATCCACACAAAAATCTATGTGCATTTGCCAGAGTTGCCCATTTCTGTACAAACTGTTCTTCTTTGTGCACTTTTCCCAATGTACTCCTTTCCATTAGCACATTTTTCCTTATAACATTATTCTCGGCCAGTCCACCCAACTGCACTGGAAACAAGCCAACACCAGAATGGTGTCAATTTTCCATCAATATGCATATTTTTAAATTTGATTTTAATTTAATGTACAAATTACCTCCCTATACCTCTGTATGGTTTTGCAGTATGTGTGAATTAGATGTTCAAGAAAATATTGTTAAAAAATCCTGGCTTAGCATTATCTGGAAATGTGGTCTGTATATGAAAAGGATATGTCCAGAAATGTATATAAGAGCAAAACTATCTGTAAAATTCTATTAACCTTAAAAAAATAACTGAAAATGAATGACCTTTTTGGTCTGCTTTCTACAAATGTATCTTTTCATACAGATAAACAAAACATTCATAGGATCCACCACTTTGCCAAAATGATGAAAGCAGCAATATGCCATAAACTGTTTGTGCAACATCACAGTACATATATAGAAAAAGGATGGAGTTTGCATCAGGTTGGTGCAATGCTATTTGCCCCCCCCCCACCTTGCCACTCCTATGAATGTACCCACAAGGGAAAGCAGCAAGTTTGGAAGCTATGATTTATAAGAAAAGGGAGGAAGGCTTGCAGTGAAAGGGCTTCCCCTCCCCATTCTGTTGTTTTTCCACTCAAAATTAATAAAGAAAAATCCCAAATTTTCTTTATTAATAAAATCCAATGGTTCATTATTGCCATTTTCATGCAATGATGGGTTCAATATCCACCAAGACAAATTCCTTGTGTGTCCAATCACACATGGCCAATAAAGATATTCTATTCTATTCTATTCTATTCTATTCTATTCTATTCTATTCTACTCTATTCCGTTCCGTTCCGTTCCGTTCCGTTCCGTTCCGTTCCATTCCATTCCACTCCATTCCATTCCATTCCATTTAGAGCCTCGGTGGTGCAGCGGACTAAAGTGCTGTTAAGTGCTAGCACTTAGCTACCAGCTGCCTGCAATTTGTGCAAGTTCAAATCTCACCAGGCTCAAGGTTGACTCAGCCTTCCACCCTTTTGAGGTAGGTAAATTGAGGACCCGGATTGTGGGGGCAATAAGCCAACTTTGTATAGAACAACACCGCTTAGGGGGGGCCAAAAGTCCTAATAAGCAGGTATATATAAAAAAGTATGCAGGCTATTGCTATAATGCATTGTAAGCTGCCCTGAGTCTACGGAGAAGGGCGGCATATAAATTGGACTAATAAATAAATAAATAAATAAATAATAAATTCCATTCTATCAAACATCATACTAAATTCTAAATCTGGATTAACAAAAAACAATTGCCCTGTTCATACAGATTATGGTTTAATGTAACACTCTCATTCATGCAACATGCTAACATCTAGATGAGATGGACAGCACACAAATCAAATAAACAAAGAAATAAATAATAAAAGTAAACTGCAAACGCCCATAATATGTTAAATTAAAAATTACCCACTGCCACTGTAACCTAATCCATTTGTCTGTTGTGTAAAACAAAATATTCGTAGTTTGTTCCTAAAGCTGAGAGGTTCAAACTATTGAGTAGGACAGACAATGACATTCACAATAGTCCTGCATTTTTACCTGAAGCAACCTTTTTTTTCCTTGTCTCCCTCCCCCTTCTGTCTGTCCGTGTGTGTGTGTGTGTGTGTGTGTGTGTGTGTGAGAGAGAGAGAGAGAGAGAGGGGGGGGGGACGGAGGGAGAGAGAGAGAGAGAATATGTGTAAAGAGAAAGGGCTTTTAAAAATTTTAAGTTTTAATGTCATTACTTTATAAAATCACTGACAAATAAAAGAAAAAAAGTCTGAACAAATGGTGCTTCTTTTCAGTCCATTAATTTTGACATCCCACTCTTAATTATTTATAGATTGTTTAACTGCTGTGGATTCACAGGCTATTGACTAAGAAGAAATCTCCCTTCTCCCCTTATTTATGAAGGAATAAAAATTGAACTAAATTCAGCGTAGCAGGATCTGTTATTCTGCTTGCTTTTTGTGAAATGAATGGCTACATAATTTGATTATAAATAATAAAATAAATCTACCTTGGCATACCTTTCTGTATTCTGTATTTCACACACAGCTTTGCACTCGCAAGTGTGCTCAAGATTGGTATCTTATTTTTTCCCTTTTTATTTCTTTTTTAATTTCTTTGGGTTTTTTTATATTTTATTTTTTGTAGAAACTTAATAAAGTATATTAAAAAAAGTAACAAAGACTGGGAACTAGAATCGCAGGGCATGGTCTTATAATAAAAAGATCATAAAGTTAGAATGGAAATTCCCTTATGAGTTTTCTCAGTTGCAATCTGAAAAAAAGAATGCCAGGCAAACAATTGATTCAGCTAGTGCAGGGGTAGGTTCTACTTACCTTTACTAAAGGTTCGTAACAGGATTGCGCGCTCACTTCGCTCGCGCATGCGCCTTGCTTCTGCACATGCACAGAAGCTTCTGTGCATACGCAGATAGCTTCTAATGATGTCAGGGTCAGTGGGCGGAGCCTCCCACCGGTTTTACTACCGGTTCTCTAGAACCGGTCCGAACTAGGGGCAACCCACCACTGAACTAGTGGTATGACCCAGATGAAGACTGTTAAGAATACTGATTGCTGGCAAGTTGACTAAGATTCTGTTGAGTTTTCTCAATAAACACAAGCTTTCTTGTGACTGATGAAGGAAAAGAGAATGCAAAGAAACAGGTTCTTGCTCCATAAAAATAGCTTAAACAGCACAGGAGTTCTCATGGCAGACTGCAGCAGTTCCTAGCAGCCTAGAAAGTGCAGAAAGCTTCCCTAAAGGCAGAACATTTGGTAACTTCTGAACTAATACAATAGCCTGCTGTAAGAAATCAGGCAAAAAACAATCACTCTTGTCTACCCATCTGAATCATTGTCTTTTTCTATATTTTCTATTATCCCAAATCACCCTGTCTTCTGCACTTATTAAACCTTGTTTTTCCTTTAGCTAATTGTCCCAGGACTAATTAACACAATCCACATGAACATGTGGTACAATTTGTCCCTGCCTGCATGTCTCGCTGCAGAATATATCATTTGTCCATGTTCTTTCGCTGAAACCTGTCCTCTTAAAAAGATCTGCTTGTCAAGGTGTGGGTTTGGGGGGAGGGAATTGGACAAAGTAAACGCTGGTCAATTCTATTTTTTAATTATATAAATTGAATTTTCTACTTTCAAAATATAAAGGAGCCAATCTTTCTTTATTCCAACAGTCCTAGAGCCAAAATTTAAAGGCTATTTGTATCCTAGTAGATTCTTTTCCATCGATCTTAAAATACTGAAGAACAGGCATAGATTGAACTGTAAAAGACTATTAAAACACTTCTAAGTATCACCAGATTGTGGGGGCGTAGGTGGGGGTTGTTTTTAAAAATGGAAAACATTCATATATGCATAATATATTAGCCTGGGCATATATATATAGGATACCTACATCAAATAAAATGAAATTATACTAACCAGAATAAAGTTAATACCTGGTTCTGCTGATTGCCTAAACTGGTTTAGTAAATCCTTCATTTAACTGCCTTTAGTTTTTCAGATTTTGGATGTAACTGGCAAATTATCTGAACAATGTTTCCATGCATACAAGTGTGTAAGATCCCATTTATCATTTTATGCACACATAAAAAGCATAAATGTCATCATATACATGAATTACGCATCCAAGAGTTTTAACAAGCATTCCTTTCCTCCTTTCCCACCAAGTGTTTACTCTTAGACAATAAAGAAATACCCCTAATTAGTTTAATGGAGATTATCTATATGACATTTTGAATTCAGAGACAATTTCACATTATGCATAATTGACCCTGAGGGAGAGGATATGTCTTGAAAAGCAGCTTTACCTTGTAGAACTCTTGCAGTTCTTCTGAGCGGTTCATATCTAAATTGTAACGAGAGTAATTAGGGGTATGTAGCCATCGATCCAAGCCTCTTTCCCTTTCCCCAATCACAAGAGATGGGTCACGGGAGAAAAGTGTTGGGAATTGGCCCCCTTTGCTGTAGGGACTATAGCTGGTTTCCATTGCGGCATTTCGGAAATCTTGAAAATATTTCATGGTGGTATTTCCATAGGTGTCACCAAAGGAAAAAGCTACATTAGGGACATGGCCACGGTATCTAGAGAAAAAGAGGAAATCAAATTAGGCTCATTAATTTATTCACCTTGGTAACACTCAATATTTGCAGCATTTTGCAAACATTATAATCTTCACAAAAACAAACAATTATTATTACATCTATTTTTGCAGAGGAAGAATTAAAGCAGATAATGGTTTCTTGGCTAGCTTAGACTAGTGTCACATATTATTTCTATGCCTCATGTAGATATTCCTCTATGTAGACCTTTTCCTGGGAACCCATATATTTTACTTGAACCACTACTGAAAAACTAAGTTCTAATTGCTTAAGTAAAATATTCCTAATCAGAAATTATTATGCAAAACATATTTTAAAATTCCAGTCTTTCTAACTTTATTCTTCCCACCCCTCTGAATATTCAGCGTCTGAGTTTTTCAACAAGCACTTCATAAATTCCATATTAAAAAGATGTAAGGATGCTATTCTGCCCAATTTACAACCCTCACTAAGCCTGTGAACAAGGGAAAACAATCTCATTTAACATTATTCCTAAATGACTGTTGCTATGCAACACATTATTAAAGACCAGTTTTTATGCTTTCTCATATTGATGCTTTCTAGTAAGTGACCTCCATCTCAACAGTTCATTTAATAAGTTAATTGCATGATTTTTTTTCTGAGCAATTTTTCAAAGAGGAGGAAATTAATTATAGATATAACACTCAAATTTAGTCTTCTTTTTGTAAGCTATATATATATATATAAGCAAGATCTCCACAAGTGATTTATAGCATCTTCTTGAACCATCTAACCATCACTATATTAATATAACAATAATGAGAACAGCATTTATATCACTTAAACAGTCGCTGAGTGATGGTAGAAGAGCTATAAAGGGAATAACCATAATCTCTTCTACAGTTTTCCTGATCACCTGAAAGTTGTTGTCATATTCCTTCTTTCAAATAAAAGACTTCTCAGCATCATATACAGTATACCATTTGCATTTTAAAGACATATCAATGCTATTTTGAGCTCCTGTTTTCCTGGATGGTAGTCATCACAAGCAGCTCTCCTTAGAAGAATGAGTTGCTCAGCAATAAAATAGGAACACTTTAACATTGTGTTACCAAAAAAAAAACCTGTTTGAAAATAATGGATTAAGGACTGGGAAATTCATTTGTAATATACCAAAGAAAGATGTAGATACATAGAGGATGGGAATATAATTTCCAGACTGGACATTATTATAATAATATGCTCTATAGAGGTGGGATCAGAAGTGAGGCATCATGGCAGGAAATTGTCGATATTTTGCTCTTTTTTTGGTACTGTATACCAACAGTTCTATTATAGTGTATCCCCTTTTCGTTTAAATTAGTGTTTCTCAACCTTGGAAGCTTGAAGATGGGTGGACTTCAACTCCCAGAATCTCCCAGCCAGCAGCGCTGCTGGCTGGGGGATTCTGGGAGTTGGAGTCCACCCATCTTCAAGCTACCAAGGTTGAGAAACACTGGTTTAAATCAGGGGTGGGCAACTGTGGCCCTTTTACAACCTGTGGACTTCAACTCCCAGAATCCCTGCGCCAGCTTGGCTGTATCAGGAATTCTGGGAGTTGAAGTCCACAGGTTGTAAAAGGGCCACAGTTGCCCACCCCTGGTTTAAATGCTTTCTAACACATTGCAACATCCTTTCTTTTTTTTTTTTCTGGACAAGGAGCAGCTTTTTTACAAATAAAATGTCATCTATTAAAGTAGGTCTTCAGAAAAGGTATAAAATAGATAGAACGTCGCCGTCTTTTCCTGACGGGACAGTTCGGTCACAAATCGTTCCTCTTCTTTTTGGTTCCCAGCGCCTCAACCTCCACCCGGCTTAAAACCCCGTTGCTGACCGACCCCTCCTCAAATCCCCCGCCGTCCCCACCTCAACTAAGGACATTTGCGAGGCCACCCACCCAGGCATGAGCCCCGGCGGCACATAGACCGCGTTGTTTTGAGTGAGGAGGGTCCCAGCGCTGCGTGAGGCCATAGCGACGATCCTTTTCAGCGGCGAGGGACGGATCCCAGTCACGAACACTGACAACTAGCGTAGCCGGGGATTGAGAGGTGGGAGCCGGTCTGCTGAAGGCCGAAGCAGTCACAAACCAGTCGCCATGGCAGCCAAGAGGCCCCGGCTCCGCTGCACAGAAGGCCGCTCCCTTCGCCTGGTGTCCATCCTCCTCCCGCGCTCCTCCCACTAGGAAAAAGCGGGGAATGTGGCTCCCATGCGGCGGGCAAGGATTATGGAACGTCTGAAACAAAGAACTGCAACAGGAGGAAATTTTGCTCTAGAACAGAGGTGGGCAAATGTGGCTCTTTTACAACCTGTGGACTTCAACTCCCAGAATTCCTGAGACAGCTTGGCTGTCTCAGGAATTCTGGGAGTTGAAGTCCACAGGTTGTAAAAGGGCCACAGTTTGCCCACCCCTGCTCTGGAAGAAATCCTGGGTCATTTTATTTGGCTTTAAAAAAAAAAAAATCCCTAGAATTATTGCACTCGTACCTTGCAAATTTAAAACAGATTCATTGAAGAAGACACAATTAATTCCAGGAAGCGTGCTCTCTTATACAATGTTGTTTAAAATGGATTCCTCCTTGAGCAGGGGGTTGGACTAGAAGACCTCCAAGATCCCTTCCAACTCTTGTTATTCTGTTCTGGTCTTAATTCCCGAAGCCAGGCAGAAGCCAGAACAAAGGTGTTGGTTATTTAATAGGATACAGTCTGAGGTTTCTGTCATTGAAAGGGGATTGACGCAGGGGTGAAATCCAGCAGGTTCTGACAGTTCAGAGAACTGGTGGTGGAAATTTTGAGTAGTTCTGTTGTCCCCAATTCGGGTCTGAGCCTGGTGCCTAGAAGAGAAATAAAAATCCTAAGGGAGACAGAAACTCAGAGCCACAGCTCCCTGCCCCAAACAGATATAAAAGGCCAGCTTTTATAAATGTAGACTTGGTAATCCATTACTCCCTGCAGCAAGGTCTGAGCAAAGGTATAATAGGAATTGTCCAACACCCTTTCAGAACACAAGCTCCTTCATTGCATCATCTCAGTTGCACCACCCCAGCAAACTTCAACCAAACGTACCTCAGACAACCTACAGAGCCAGCTATGATCCCTACAACAGCCAATAGAATACATGTTCTTGCACAGGAACAGGAAGTTCAAGTTCAAAGCCCAAAAGTATAAATAACCCCTCACTCTCAACTCCATGTGGTCAGCTGCCCAGGACCTCAAACCCATGTGGTTCTGCTTCATCATTAAACCATCTTTCCAATCAGCCTCCATGTTTCCAGTGTCTTTCTCCCAGTTTGGAACTGAACCAGATGCTATTTCTTCCAACAATAGTATAAATATTAATACGTTATGAGATAAAGGAGCTTACCTCCTGTTTTCCGATTGCTAGTTAATGATCATGAATACAATCTACTGGTCTACTGACAGTCTGTTTTACATAGTGACTGTTAACAATCTTTAGGCAGTATGTTGCAGATGACTCCTTTTTTTCTTTTTTCTTGAACTACTGAGTTTTTTTGGTTTATTTAAAATGCAAACATACATGTGCAAGCAAAACAATGAAGCACAGAGTATTTCATCAACCGTGAGCTACATATATTCTCTTCTACTTAAATACTTCAGTTAGATGAGCCACAAATATTTTTTCATGAAGAGTACATTATAAGGTTTCGTTTAAAGTTTATTATCCTTATTCAAGTTCCTTTAATAGTTGCTTTGTACTTTTTTTATTATTGTTCATACATTTAGTTATTTCACCCTCTTCATGTTAGTAATTGTGTTCATTGGAACACATTTCTTTTTGTATTGGGCATCTGTGGATCAATAAACAGCTTAATTCATTTCAGATAACAGTTTCAAGATTGTAGCCTTTGCAACTGATTCAGTATTACTAATTGAGGTGCCATTTCATGCTCACATTTACAGAATCCTTAGAAATAAGCCATGGTGGCTCAGGAGCCGTGGTGACGCAGTTGTTAGAACTCTCACATCCTGGAGCTCAATTCTGATGGGCTCAAGGTTGACTCAGCCTTCCATCCTGAGGTTGGTAAACTGAGGACCCAGATTGTTGGGGGCAATATGCTGACATTTGTAAACCGTTCAGAGAATGCTGTAAAGAACTGTAGAGTGGTGTATAAGTCTAAGTGCTATTGCTATTTTATAAGATCCAAAATAAAACTAATTTAATTAGACAAATGTGCATTATTTATTTAAAATTTAATCCACTTTAAAGTGTCTATCTCAGTGATGGTTAACCTTTTTGGTGCCAAGTGCCCAAAGCACACGTGTATGCGCGTGAATGCACGCATGTGTGCCAGAACTTCCAAAATTCAATGTGAGCGCCCCTGTGCATGCGCCCCCCACACATGTGCCCCACCCTCGCGCCCCATTTTGGCTTCCAGGTTGGTGCAGGAGGCTTTCCAGGCCCAAAACGGGGCACGCCCCCCCCATTTTGGGCCTGGAAAGCCTCCTGCACCAACCTGCAGCCCCCTGCATATGCCCCCCACATGCATGCGAGGCAGAGACCCAAAGACCACCTGGCCGGCGGAAGGCGGTAGAACTGGGCTCGGGTGACAGCTGGCGTGCCCACAGAGAGGCTCTGCATGCCACCTGTGGCACGCGTGCCATAGGTTCACCATCACAGGTCTATCTACTTCTGCAAAGTTAAAAATGGCTACATGGATGAATATTAATGGAAATCTTTGTCTTGAAAAGGGAAGTTGGATGATGATGATCAAAATGCCTACGATTATAGTTAGAATGGAATCTTTTTACATTACAGGTAGTCCTCAAGTTACAACAGTTTGTTTAGAGATAGTATGATACTGGAAAAAAGTGACTTATGACCATTTTTCACACTTACGACTTTGCAGCATCCCTATGGTCATGTGATGTACATTGGGATGCTTGACAGCTGATTTGTACTTATGATGGTTGCAGTGTTCTGGGGTCTTGTGATCCCCTTTTGCAATCTTTTGACAAGCAAAGTCAATGGGGAAGCCAGATCCACTTAACAACCAGGTTACTAACTTATCAACTGCAGTGATTCACTTAACAACTATGGCAAGAAAAGTCGTAAAATGGGGCAAAACTCACTTAACAACATTCTCATTTAGTAAAATAAATGTTGGGCTCAATTGTGGTCATTAAGTTGAGGACTACATGTATTTGTGAGGGTGGAAAAGATGAAGCTGTGTTTTGCCTGAATTGCATAACCAAGGTTTGCATAAATTGTACAAGCCAAAGGAGACCTCCACATATAAGAATACTTATGCCCTCTCCTCTGAAAACACATCAGGCATTATTTCTGCAATATTTTTAGAAATGGGCAATCAAAAAAATGGTTCATGAAATTCATTAAATCTTCAAACAGCTTTGTATGAGTATTTTCTGCTTCTCTGGGAAAATGAAAATGCTGACAGGCAATTTTCTTAGCATTCATTTCACTTTCTTTCATTGTATTATGTTCTTCCACTAGTATATGCATCATGGCTTTTCAGCCATATTAAATATGACGCTTGCCCTGTCCTCCCCACTCACAAAATTTGAAATATTAATATTTTAGAAGGAGAAGCTAGATTACTTCATTGTGTTCTATGATGCTCAGCCCTTGAGGACTATTCCTCAAGGACTCCATCTGCTGATGTGAAGTGGATCTGTATGTGATAGCTCCCTTTTCAAAGCACAAAAGATTAATTCTGACCATAACAGCTAAGCTAAAGCACTTTCAGACTGCTATTCACAGTGTTATGCCTGTGCATGTTTGTAAATCCACTGAGATTTATTAGTTTATGCAGTAAATGTGCATAGAGTTTGGAAATAATACTGCAATCCCAGATATGTGGCAGAAAATCGTGGCAGAATGTATTAATATTTACTTCCTAATACCTCTGATTTATAAATCCTTTGATTATTCCTCATGACCCACAAAATATCACTCTGGTGGTTTACAATGTCAGCATTAGTTGCATATTACCCCAACAATTTTGGTCCTCATTTTACCGACCTCGGAAGGATTAATAGCTGAGTCAACCTTGAGCCTCGTCAGGATCAAACTCCAGGCTGTGGGCAGAGTTTGCCAACAATACTGCATTCTAACCACTGTGCCACCAGGGCTCTCACTATAGATACATAAATTATCTGAACAGTATACATTTTAAAACATATAAAATATAATATTTCAGTAAAAGGAGGCAGTTAAAACAAGGATAGAATAATCAAAGTTAAAAATGGGGGGGGGGAAGACCTTCAAGACACTCACCAAGTTAATGCTTCAGCAATCTCACAAAGGAGTCTTGAACGAAATACGTTACTCTCAGCTTCCCCTTGTCCTGACAGGACAACAACCTGCCATCAGCTTTTCTTTGCTGTGCTCTTTCTGATCCGGGCAACATCTACATTCCTTTTGGATACTGTACTGTATGGAGTTGCCAGCACAAACCCTCCCCTGTGTTCACTCCATGGCCATTTTTTTTGAAAGCTTGCATCTAATGATAGAAACAAGCCCACATAAGTCCTGATATAACTCCTGATGAACATTGCCAAACTGAAGAATGGACTGATACCCAGACAGAAATTTCCTTTTTATAGTAATTTTATTAAAGATTATTTTTACAACTGCAAAAACTACTACATACTAAAAAAAAAGATAGAATAAAAAGAGTAGAATAAAAGATTAGTCGTATAAATGTATCAGAAATACTGTATATACATCTTGTTTACACTGCTTTATCATCCCTCTATAACACTTCTGAGGATATATAACCCATAATATGCAGCCTTCTTTCACATGCTTTTGAACAGGGACCCAATGATCCCTGTAACTGTGCAACATGCATGCTAATAAAAGTTATTTTGCTGCATCTATCTCTATACACTTTGGTCCTTATTTAAATGGCATTTTCTCTTTTCTTGGTCTTTTTTTTAAATATTGTATACTGATTTTTCTATGTTTTGTTCAGGAGGTAATGAGGGGTGAGGGATTGTCCACTGATTCCTTATAATGTAGTTTCAGCTTGCATTAAATTGGTAATGCTTAGCTTGATGGCTTTTTCTTTATTCTTTTCTCACGACTGGATTGGATTTTTTTTTTTTTTTGCACAGAATTGCTTATCCCAAAAGGGACTAATGTGGTGATGTGCATGTATGCATCTGATAGGATATGATCAACTTAAAGAAAAAAATAATAAAATAATAAAT